CCTTCCTCTCTATACAAAATTAATAAAATATATATTTTTAAAAGTGACACTATACATAATTTTAAAAATAAAATAAATAAATTAAAATAAATAGATAAATAAAAAATTAAAAACCCACAAAATACAAAAAACAAGGAAAAAGATTCCAAATCACTTCAAGAGCACAGATGTCTTAAATTAAACCAGAGTAAGAACCAGCTAGCTTGGTTCTTAATTCTAGGATAGGTATTCAGAATTTTAAAATACTATTTTATTTTTTAATTTCAGAGAGAGGAGGGAAGAGGGATAGAAACATAAATAGATTGACTGCCTACTGAGTGAGGATTGAGCCCACAACCAGGTTATGTGCCCTGGCCAGGAATCTAACCATGACCTCTTGATTCATGGGTTGGTTAGCTCAACTGGGCTAAAATACTAATTGTAAACTAGTTCTTTCTTATTACACTATGTAAAATATTATTGTTATTTTCTAAGAAATGTGTAAAGATAATAAATATGTGGATTTAAGAGGAAATAATCATTGAAAAAAATCTATTGCAAAGGGAAACCTTAAAAATGTTTCCACTGCTATTTGGGCTCAGAATGAGGACATCTCAAATTTTATTGAAAGCCACCTGGGAAAACTGCAGAACAAAATTTAACAGTAATTTTCTCTCCCTTCCAACTCAAGTGTATGAATAGGTGAGGGATCTTTACTCTGAATTTCCTATTCACCCTGAGAACTTCACTTTGAAAGATAAGAACTCGGTCAAGTGTAGTACCCATAGTAATAAAAGCATAATATGCTAGTTAGACCGGATGTCCTCCTGGATGATCTTCTGGACAAAGCTGGGCTGCAAGGGAAGATTGGGTTTTGGGTGCTGGCAGCTGGGGGCAGGAAGGCCTACTCTGCACAAATTTTGTGCATCGGGGCCTCTAGTGATAGTATATTTAGGATAAGATTTACTGATTTGCCTCTAGATAAGGTCTAGATTTCTATGAAAGAAAAGTATGCTGCAATGAATAATGCACATTATGTGGCCAATTGTCAACTTTTTTATTTATTTATTTTAAATATATATATTTTATTGATTTTTTTTTTACAGAGAGGAAGTGAGAGGGAGAGTTAGAAATATAGATGCGAGAGAAACATCAATCAGCTGCCTCCTACACATCCCCCACTGGAAACATGCCCACACCCAAGGTACATGCCCCTGACCGGAATCGAACCCGGGACTCCTCAGTCCCCAGGTCGACACTCTATTCACTGAGCCAAACCGATCAGGGCAACTTTTTATATATATGAGTATAATCTTACTTAATATGCAATAAGAACAAAGACAAAAATAATCTTATTTGAAAATAAAACCCATATGTGCTTAAATCCAAACCATATGTGCAGCAAAACAAAAAAAGCACATGTTTCACAGTGAATAAATTCCCTTGTCCCAACTTAGTTATAAAACACTTTAATGCATATATAGGCCAATGAAAGATAATGATTTTTTAACTGCTAGACATTCTATATAATAAAAGCCTAATATGCTCAGTGTCCGATCACCCATTCAACCATTCAAAGGGTAATATGCTAATGATATGCTAAGGTTGCTCAACCATTTGCTATGATGTGCACTGAAAAACTAGAAAATAGTTGGGAGGTTACATGTACTCTTCAGCCAGTTTCCCCCGAGGTATCACCTTATGTAACTACTAGGGTAAGGTGCCCGGACGTCCTGCTTTTGACAGGACAGTCCTGATTTTTAACAATTTGTCCCTCGTCCCGCGGTGTTTTTAAAAAAAAGTCCCGATTTTTTGAAAGATTCTTTTAAATCTTTTGGACTTTTAAAACACCGTGGGACGAGGGACAAATTGTTAAAAGTCGGGACTGTCCCACCAAAAGCGGGACATCTGGTCACCTTACACTAGAGGCCCAATGCACAAATTCGTGCACAGGTGGGGTCCCTCAGCCTGGCAGCAACTGAGGCCTGTCAGGGGAGTGGCCAGTGGGAGGGACGCCGGGATGTTGGCTGGCCTGGCAGGGGCCAGTCAGCTGGGGAGAGGGACCACAGGAGGCTGGCCAGCCCTCAGCCCGCCTGCGCCTCCCCCCAGTCTGGGACGCCCAAGGGGGTCCTTAGCACTGCGCAGGGGTGCGAGAGGCTCCTGCCACCTCCGCTGCTCCTGCCACCTCCGCTGCTCCTGCCACCTCCCCTTCGCCTGCCAGCTGTGAATCCAAGCCTGGCTTCCGGCTGAGCAGCCCTTTTCAAAGCCTGGTAAGGAGCAGAGAGGAGGAGGAAAACAAGAACTTCCTGGGCTGCAGAAAACTCGCTCCAGCACAACTGCTTCGTCCCAACAGTTGTCACAAGGAAATCTGCAGAAGCCACTGTCCACCCCTCGAGGGATGACAACAAGTTTCAAATGTACCTGGGCCTATTTCTCTGAATATCAGGTCAACCACTCAAAAAAAAAAAGGAGGAAAACTGGGACGGGGGCAGCATATCAAATTCCATGTAGTTGCAGCGCCGAATCCAAACGCAGCCAAAGTTCCCGCTGGATAAATAAGAGGAGCGCTGGCTCCTTCATTGTTCTCACCTTTGACACCTGCCCTGACCAATCGCTTTTCTGAGTAACAGCAAATCATTTCATTAAAAAAACACTTGGACTTCCCAGGTTCATTTGAGGTTAAGTCACCCAAAACAACCTGCGCCAACGGCGTGGCGCAAGCCGAGCTGACCCGGCGCCTCGGAAAGCGCCCACACCCTCCCCCCCGGGCCTCTCCGAAGGCCCCGCGGGCGCGGCCAGCTTCCGACCGGCCCCAGGAAGACCCCGCCGCGGAGGACCCCGCACACACACCCACTCCGGCGGCGGAGGGGGACTTCGGGGGCTCAGCCTCACCTTCCGCGTCGGCCGAGGAGACAAAGGTGAAGTCCCCGTTCGTGGGAGAATAGGCCGGGGGCGGGCCCGGCGGCTGCATCTCGCGGCCGCTGGGAGCCGGCGGCGGCGGAGGAGGCGGCGGCTGGGCCCAGGCCCCGAGGCGGCCGCGGCGCCGACCCGCAGCGGCGCCCTACGAGCCGAGCCGGGAAGGGCAGGCCGGAAGCGAGCCCGGGACCAGCGCGGCGCCCCGAGGATGCCCCACCAGAGTCTCCGCCGTGGCGACGGCCCCCGCACCTCGACGCCGGCGCCCTGACAGGACCACAACAGTGACAGCGCCGCGGGGATTGGCTCTTTGTAATTTGCTCTCCCATTGGCTCCCGCGGAAAGGCTCTGATTGGGCCGCCTGTGCTTGATCCCGGAAGTTTGCCCAGGACCGGAAGTTCACTCACAATGTGTGGACCACTCCGGCTTCCTCCTCCCTGTTGGCTGTTTTTGTTTTCTTTAAGGCTCATATTTTCCGGCTTTTCTTTTACCCAGTTCCTTCGTTTTTGTGAACTGGGTGGGTTAAAGAATTTTAGAACTAGGGACGTTTCTAATGGTCAGTCCAGTTTAGGATCCTAAGATTTTTTTTTGGGGGGGGGTGGTGGAGGGGGGATTAGGCAAAGGCAAGTGAAAATGCCATGAAATTGCCCATCGTTTTTAGAGGTACCTTTTCTTCATTGCGCATTCATATGGTTGTAGACCTTTGACAGTTTCCTAGAACGTTAGACCAACCAGTTTCTTTTTTTAATCCCCTTCCATTCCCCCATTTTTTTGTTTTTATCTTTTCCTCTTTTTAAACAAAAGAAAGTAGACAGATACGTGTTGGTAAATGCTAACTGCCCATATTCCCACAAACAGTGTAATCTGGGCCCAATATACATAGTGATATATGTGATACATATGATTGGGATAGCACTCAACAATAAAAAGAAATGAATTAATGACCTATACAATAATATGGATGATTATAAAAAACCGTATGCTAAGTTATGATAGGAACAGACACATAGAATACATACTCTAGATTCCATTCATAAGAAATTCAAAACAAGAGACATTGTAATCTACAGTGACAAAAAGCAGATTAGTGGTTGTCTCCGACCACAGCGGGTGGGCAGGGAAACTGCCTGCACATAGGTTTGAGGGGATGTTTTAGGGCCATGGATGCCTTCTGTTTGATGTTTGGGGTAGCCTTTATCAAAAACTCATCCAATTGAACACTTTAAATGGGTATATTTTCATGTATATAAACTATCATTCAATAAAATTGATTTATAAGAGAAGAGACAAAAACTTTAACAGGCAGTTTGTACAATAAAAATTCAGAAGAGCTGGACACTTGTAATTGCATTTAGAGCTCACCCAGATGATCCAGAATTATGTCCCCATCTCAAGATCCTTCATTTAACCACATCTACAGAGACATGACATTTACAGGTTCTAGGGATTAAGACCTGATATATTTGGTTGGGCCACTACAAACACATTTCCACATTTCCCCCTTTTATCCTGTATTACATCATTTGTTATTACAAAAGTGATAGTTGTGCTTTCCTTTTCCCTTTCCCTTTCCTTTCTCTCCTCTCCCCTATCTCTCCCCCTCCCTCTCCTTTTCACCCTTCACCACAACATTACCAATGCCTTCCTCACTCCCAAGCTCCTAGGGCCCTTCCTTTGCCTCCAAAACTCATTTCCTCAGCCCACTTCTACAAATTATTTCTTCTACCTCTGCAATTGTATAAATAAATGTTCTCTTATTTTTAAAAAAGTGATAGTTGTTTTGAAAAGGAAATTAGAATATACAGATAAGCAAAAGAAGAAAACAAAATTGCCCCCAGAGTTAAGCATTGCTAATATTTTGGTAACTATCTTTTTTACATACACACATATGTGCATCTCTCTCTCTCTCTCTCTCTCTCTCTCTCTCTCTCTCTCTCTCTCTCTCTCTCTCTCTCTCTCTCTCTCTCCTAAAGGCCCAGTGAACAAAATTGGGTCCCTTAGCCCAACCTGTGCCCTCCTGTACTCCAGGAGCCCTCGGGGAACGTTTGATTAATGGCGTAGGCCCGTTCCCTGCAGGGAGCCAGCAGTTGGACATTTTTGGTGCTGCCCTGAAGGTGAGAGAGGGGCCTGCCACTGCACTTGCCAGCTGTGAGCCAGGCTTCTGGCTGAGAGATGCTCCCCCTGTGGGAGTGCACTGACCACCAGGGGGTAGCTCCTGCACTGAGCACCTGCCCCCTAGTGGTCAGTGTGAGTCATAATGACTGGTCGTTCCACCCTTTGGTCAACAGGCATATTAGCCTTTTATTATATAGGATATATGATTGATTTCAGGAAGGAAGGGAGAGGAAGAGAAAGATGGAAACATCAATGATGAGAGAATCATCGATAGGCGCCGTCCTCCTGCATGCCCCATACCGGGACTGAGCCCAAAACCTGGGCATATGCCCCTACCCGGAATCAAACAATGATCTCCTGCTTCATAGGTCAAAGCTCAACCACCAAACCACACCGGCCGAGCTTGATAACTATCTTTACAATTTTTTTCTCTGTGACTACATTTACATATAGGTCCTACTAAAGTTTTAAAAATCCAGCCCTTGATTCCACTTCATAGAAGCACACCTCTAAGTTGAGAAAAACTGCTGTTATTCCCATAGAAACCCTAAATGCAGAAATTTACTTAGGGTGAAAACTTTGATATTCCTCTCTGTCAGATAGGTTAATGTCAGTATGCCTTTTTTGGAATAAGAAGTTAAGTAACATAAAAAAGCTTGTGGTTATTTGTGCAATGATAGGGGAAAGCTTACACAAGAATGTCATTCTCAAGAGAAGTGCCAGGAGATTTCTCCTTTTCCAGCGCTTAGGGTAAACTGGCTTTCTAGAATTTGTGACCACAAGCTGTGGCCGTGTGTGTGCCAGTGGGAGGCTGTGGCTCTTTGTGTTCGGGAAATGGCCTGTGCATCACTAGTGGAGCGGACAGACGGTGGTGATGCGTTTGCTCTGTGCTAACCTTGCCCAGGACTCTGGTGACAGAGAGTATGCATTTGTTAGAAGTCTGCCGGGATCCAAGATACACATGGTAAGCATGGCTTTGATTGCTGTAACCATATGCTTTAACCAACCAAACCAGTTCATTCTCCTCTCTCTCTCTCTCTCCTCTCTCTCCCATAAAAATTAATGCAAATTAAATATTCAAAACACTTTGCTTCATTTTAAGCTATAGAATAAATGAGCCAACAGCAATAGGATTCACATATCATGAACACATAGGAAACAAACGAATAATTCCTTTACCGATGTACATTTCTAATTTATGCATCTTTAAGTCTCAAGTTTTACTTCTTTGGCCACTTCTACTTACACTCATCTTCCCCTTTTGCACAGTAGTTCTTGTTTCCAAACCATTCTTACTATGCTTTGGAAAGATCAGAAAAAAAGATAACTCATCAGTGTTTGCCTTTACAATCTCCAGCCACAGAACACAGCCCTCCGATCCACAAGACACCAGGCCTCACACTGTGAAACAGAAAGCAAATAAAAGAATCTTTATTTTAAAAGCAGTTGATCCACCAAGGACGGGGCAACTGGATTGGTCAGCCAGGTACTGTGTGGAGAGATAATGGGATTTTAAATGGGTGTTGGATCCAAATATTACAATTTGGGTTTACAGTTATTTAAAGCTTGTGCCTGGGGGTATAAAAGCCTAAACACTAAAGACTGGTTTTGCATGACTGGATTTGCCTGCAGTGAAACTTTTAGGGCTGGTTAGTCTGTGAGTCTGGCCTGTGGGGTTTCATTAGGTTCTCTCGGATGGATGTGTAAATGTAGAATCAAAACAGAAGGGAGACAAAGTGAGGGAAAGCGCTCTGAAAATATTTTTTTGGCTTATACTTTTGCTAACGTTGTTGGAATCACACAAGGTGAGCTGAAAAGAGGGGAGGATGTTGGGGGGAAGATTACTCATTCCATTTAGTCCCCTAAATTCCTGGTGAGAAAGCTGATATCTAGAACTGTGATTTTTGAACCTGTGCCTCAAAAAAATTTAAAACATGCATTACCTGACAACTTAGCCAGAGGCACTGACCTCTTTTCCCTAGATTGTAAAATAAAAAAAAAATGACAACAGACATCACAACAATAGCCATCTGGTGAGTGAATGCCCTGTCTTGAGCATAAATATAGGTCATATTATAGAGTTGCATTTTATTGGTCATGTCACATACTAAGGTTATGTCTGATTGATTTTTTTAAAAATTGATTTGCAAGAGAGAGGAAAGGAGAGAGAAAGAGAGAGAGAGAGAAAAACATCAATTTGTTGTCCCATTTACGTATGTGTTCCTTGATTGATTCTTATATGTGCCCTGACTGGGGATTGAACCCCCAATCTTGGTGTATTGGGACAACACTCTACCCCACTGAGCTACCCGGGTTGGGCTAACAGGCCAGGGCTGGTTAATTCTTGATACCAGACATCCTTATAAACAAGTATAGGTACCTGATTTTTCAAAAAGTCACCTTGGAGCCCTAGCCAGTTGGCTCAGTGGATAGAGTATCGGCTTGCAGAGTGAGGGGTCCCAGGTTTGATTCCGGTTAAGGGCACATGCCTAGCTTGTGGGCTCAGTCCCCAGTGGGGGGCATGCAGGAGGGAGCTGATCAATGATTCTCACTCATCATTGATGTTTCTATCTCTCCCTCCCTCTCCCTTCCTCTCTGAAATCAATAAAAATATATATATTTTTAAAAGTCACCTTCGAGCCAAAAGGGCAGCTTTTTTTTTTTTTTACTCAATCAGAATTATACCTATTTTTTGTCAGATGGGCATAAAATATTTTTTTTGGTATGCCTCAGAATTTTAGTACTATAATTAGCTTATGTGGCCAGGAGATGAAAAAGGTTGAAAACCACCTCTGATCTAGAGAGAAGTAAAGGGACCCACCGTTACAGGACATCTATTGTTAATAGCATCTTTACAGACTTTATCTTGGTTAGTCCTGACCACTCTGCTTTAGAGAGATACAAAATGTGTGAAGGGAGGTCAACTGACATAATTCTGGTCCACAGAAGTAGGATGCAATCTGTCTCCTGTCATTGTCCTCTTACTGGCTCAGCCACTTCTATAATGCCAATTGTATTAGCCTGCTCAGGCTGCCAAACCAAAATGCTACAGACTGGGGGATTAACCAACAGAAAGTTATTTTATTTTATTATTATTATTCTTTAATTCTCATTGAGGATATTTTTCCATTGATTTTCAAGAATGGAAGAGAGCCGAAACCGGTTTGGCTCAGTGGTAGAGCGTCGGTCTGCAGACTGAAGGGTCCCAGGTTCAATTCCGGTCAAGGGCATGTACATTGGTTGCAGGCACATCCCCGGGTAGTGGGTGTGCAAGAGGCAGCTGGTTGATGTTTCTCTCTCATCAACATTTCTAGCTCTCTATCCCTCTCCCTTCTCCTCTGTAAAAAAAATCAATAAAATATATTTAAAAAAACAAAAAAGTGGAAGAGAGAGGGAAAGACAAAGAGAAACACATTGATTGGTTGCCTCCTGCGGGCACCCTGAGCAGGCCAGAGTTGAAGAGGAACCTGCAACAAAGGTACATGCCCTTGACCAGAATCAAATCCAGGACACTCTGTCCACAGACCGACACTCTATCCACTGAGCCAAAGGGCCATGGTCAGCAAACTGTGGCTCGTGAGCCACATGCGGCTCTTTGGTCCCATGAGTGTGGCTCTTCCACAAAATACCACAGCCTGGGCGAGTCTATTTTGAAGAAGTGGCATTAGAACAATGTTTAAGTTTAAAAAATTCAGCCCTCAAAAGAAATTTCAATCATTGTACTGCTGATATTTGGCTCTGTTTACTAATGAGTTTGACGACCACGGGGCTAGTGCAACAGAAAGTTATTTTCTCACAGTTCTGAAGTCCAAGATCAAAGTGCCCACAGGTGTGATTTCTCCTGAGGCCACTCTCCTTGGCTTGCAGGTCTGCCTTCTCACAGTCTCTCCTTTGAGTGTGCACCTCTGGGTCTCTGTGTACAAACCTCATTGTCTTGTTAAGGAATTCAGTCAGACTGTATTATGGCTCACCCTAATAGCCTAATTACCTATTTAAAGGGCCCACCTCCAAATACAGTAATGTCCCAAGGGCGTGGGTAGGGCTTCAACTTCACAGCAGTCCTAGGAGATGGGGATTAATCACGTCGGCATTTCAGATAAAGAAAGCAAGACTTGTCCAGCCAGCGTGGTTCAGTGCTTGAGCATTGACCTATGAACCATGAGGTCACAGTTGGATCCCCAGTCAGGGCACATGCGTAGGTTTCGCACTCATCCCGAATAGGGCAAATGCAGGAGAGAGCCAATCAATGATTCTCTTTTATCATTGGTATTTCTCTCTCTCCCTCTCTCCCTCTCCGAATTAAATAAAAAATATATTAAAAAAGACACACAAATTCTCAGTAAGGAAAAGGTACCCATTTAATAAACAGCAAAGTGGGATTTTAATTCACTTCTGCAATGTTAAAGCTACACATACTTTCCACTTCTCTGTGCTGCCTCTCTGTTCTCATTACATACGATTTTCCCCCCCATTTCCTCCATAAGTCCTGGGATGAACCCATAGATGTGGGTTATATGGTCCCGAGGAACTTCAATTCTCTAGGGAGCTCATGTAAACATTTGAAAATATCCATTTTTTAAAAAATTTTAAATTGATTTTAGAGAGAGGAAGGGAAAGAGAAACCTCACTGAAAAAATCATTGATCGGTTGCCTCCTGCACATTTCCTGACTAGAATTGAACTTGCAACTTGGACATGTGCCCTGGCTGGGAACTGAACCCACCACCTTTCTTTTCATATTTTTCTTTTCTTTTCTTTTTTTTTAATATATTTTATTGATTTTTTTACAGAGAGGAAGAGAAAGGGATAGAGAGTTAGAAACATTGATGAGAAAGAATCATCTATCAGCTGCCTCTTGCACACCCCCTACTGGGGATGTGCCCACAACTAAGATACATGCCCTTGACTGGAATCAAACCTGGGACCTTTCAGTCCAAGCCGATGCTCTATCCACTGAGCCAAACTGGTTTTGGCATGAACCCACCACCTTTCAGTGTACCGGATGACGCTCCAGCCCACTAAGCCATACTGGCTAGGGCAAAATGTCCATTTTTAGAATTACTGTAGTTCTAAATATTATTTTTCGAAGTAGAAATGTAGGAAAAGACTTCCTCCATGCAATTCAATTCTTCACTGAACAGCTTTGTTAAGGAGGTGGGGAAGTGTTCAGAGCCACAGCCATGATTCAGGGCAGCAAACTCGTTTCAACCTGTCCTTTATGCCAGTGGTTAATTGCGAGTGGACTACCTGAGATTTAGACTATGGGTTGATTTTATTCTCAAGTTATCTTTGAGTTAGTTCTCTAGTCTGGTCACAAACTTTCTCTGTGTGGGTAGGAAGAATATTATCAGTATCCAAACTGAATATGAATTATTAGCATCTTCAAAATTAGCTGAGATTCCTGCCTGATGATCCATGTAGCAATTTTAATTGATTATTTTTTCAGACAAAGTGACTGCCTGGCCAACTCTAGGATTAGTTTATTCGCTTCACAAGTGAATATAAGGAACTTCTTAGGTCCTTCCTCTATCTTCCTCTTTCGCTGTTCTCTCTTAAACTTTGACCCAGTTCAGTGGTTCTCAACCTTTTTAAGGCCATGACCCTTTAATACAGTTCCTCATGTTTGATGACCCCCCAACCATAAAATTATTTTCGTTGCTACTTCATAACTGTAATTTTGCTACTGTTAATGAACCATAATGTAAGTATCTGTGTTTTCCGATGGTCTTAGGATCTATAGCAGCGGTTTTCAACCTGGGGGTCACCACAACATGAGGATCTGTATTAAAGGGTCGTGGCATTCAAAAGGCACATGAAAACATGCTCAAAGTCACTAATTATCCGAGAGATGCAAATCAAAACAACAATGCGGTACCATCTCACACCTGTCAGAATGGCCAACATCAACAAATCAACAAACAACAAGTGTTGGCGAGGTTGCGGAGAAAAAGGAACCCTCGTGCACTGCTGGTGGGAATGCAGACTGGTGCAACCACTGTGGAGAACAGTGTGGAATTTCCTTAAAAAACTGAAAATGGAACTCCCATTTGATCCAGTAATCCCACTCCTAGGAATATATCCCAAGAAACTAGAAACACCAATCAGAAAGGATATATGCACCCCTATGTTCATAGCAGCACAATCTACAATAGCCAGAATTTGGAAACAGCCTATGTGCCCATCAGCAGATGATTGGATCCAAAAACTATGGTACATCTACACAATGGAATACTATGCTGCCATAAAAAAGAAGGAATTCTCATCATTTGCAGCAACCTGGATGGAATTGGAGAACATCATGCTGAGTGAAATAAGCCAATCAATGAAAGAGAAACACCACATGACCTCACTCATTTGTGGATAATAAAGATCATTATAAAATGATGAACCAAAAGATAGATACAGAGACAGTAAAGCAACAAGCAGATTGTCAAATTTCAGCGGGAAGGGGAGGAGGAACTGGGGGAGATAATAGATCAACTGAAGGACTTATATACATGCATATAAGTACAATCAATGGACATAAAGCTCTGGGGAGGGAGGGGATGTGTGGGAGGGAGGGAGGGGGAAAAATCAATAAAATATGTAAAAATAAATAAATTAATTAAAAAATAAAATAAATAAATAAATAAATAAATAAAGGGTCGTGGCATTAAAAAGGTTGAGAACCACTGCCTGGTAGATGAAGACACACCTCTTCTGGGGGAGTGGAAAGGAAAGGTGAAAAAAAAAACCTAGTAGTTGCTATTTACTGAGTGTTTTCTGTGTATCAGTCAAGGACTCCCAACTTGTCAGTGGTAGGGCGGATATTTGAACTCATTCCTGACACCAAAATAGGCCTTGCTTACACTCAGGTGCTGTCCAATCCTGGTTTTCAGATTCTTTGTTCAGGGCTCCTTCTCTGTGCTGATTTCTCTGCCTAGACATAGACTTTCCCCTTTACTGGCTGGCGAACTTTGATTTCCTTCAAGAACAACTCAAAACTCATTTCTTCCAAGCAGAATTAAATATCCCTCCGTGGGGGTACCCTAGAACACTGATCTTCAAACTTTTATTGACCTCAACTCACAATAAGAAACATACTTAGCCGAAACCGGTTTGGCTCAGTGGATAGAGCATCGGCCTGCAGACTGAAAGGTCCCAGGTTGTATTCCAGTTGCGGGCATATCCCCAGTAGGGGGGTGCAGGAGGCAGCTGGGCAGTGATTCTCTCTCATCAATGTTTCTAACTCTTTATCCCTCTCTCTTCCTCTGTAAAAAATCAATTAAAAATTTTTTTAATTAAAAAAAAGAAAGAAATATACTTACGTGGTGGCTTACCTGGGGTGGGAATGGCGGGGGGTGGGGGGGGGGGGGGGGGGGGCGGTTGTCAATTGGGGAAAAAGGAGACACATGTAAAACTTTAGACAATAAAATAAAATAAAAAGAAATACACTTACATCACTAGGATATGTAAACAATTAAAACAAAATTTTCATGAAAAAAACATAGTGCATTCTGATAGTTTTAATTCTATTTAATTTTTATAATATACTAATTTTAACCCACTTAAATTGATTTCATGACCCGCTGAGAGTTGGGGTAACTGGAAGAGGATAAATGGTGATGGAAGGAGACTTGACTTTGGGTGGTAAACACACAATATAATATACAGATGATATATTATAGAATTGTACACTTGACACCTTTATAATTTTATTAATTAGTATCATACCAATAAATTCAATAAAAATTTTTAAAAAAGAAAAGAAAATATGCCCTAGAAGACAGTATTTCTTCCTTTGATAGCTTTTGTTTCTCTGAAAGGTTGAGATTCTCTGGTCCCTCAAAAAGATGCTCTGGGGGCCAGTTCTTTGTTGCCCCATCCATTGGCAAATGAGTTGATGTTTCATTTTGATCTTATTTATTTTTCCAATGATGGAAAAGTTGGCCTTAAAAGCATGTCTATTTGTATGCTTGGCTGGGTGTACCTAGCATATTTGACATTTAAGAAAATCATTTCAAACATTTCCCTCCTTTATACAACATTATTTTCAATAATAATCATATAACAAATAATAGTAATGACCATAAAAGAAATTCAAATATTACCAATTTTTAAATTCTCACCTGAGGATATTTTTTTCATTGATTTTTGAGAGAGTGGAAGGGAAGGGGAGAAACACAGAGAGAGCAATATTGATGTGAGAGAAACACATTGATTGACTGCCTCCCGCACTCGCCCCAACCATGGCCGGGGATCCATCCTACAACTGAGGTACGTGCCCTTGACCAAAATCGAACCTGCAATCTTTCAGTCAATGAACTGACACTCTTACTACTGAACCAAATTGGCTAAGGAAACAATTTTTTTTAATGGTAAAATACATGTAACATAAAATTTACCATCGTCACCATTTTAAGTGGACGCTTCTGTAGTGTTGTGTGTACTCACATTATTTTGTTGTACACTCAATTTCCAAAACGTTTGCTCCTTGAAAAATTGAAGCTCTGGCCCTGGCAGGTGTGGCTCAGTTGGTTGAGCATCAAATCCTGTGCACCAAAGGATTGCTGGTTTGATTCCTGGTCAGGACACATGCCCAGGTTACAGTTTAATTCCTGGTCAGGGTGCATGCAGGAGGCAACTGATCAATATTTCTCTCTAACCTCTCTCTCTCTCTTTCTCCTTTTCCCTTCCCCTCTCTCTAAAATCAATAAAAGCATGTCGTTGGGTAAGAAAAAACATTTTTTTTTAATGACACTGTTTGCTTTTAAGTGTAAAAATATTTATATAAACTTGGTAATACAGTATTTTGATTGGTCTTTCCTCTGGGTATGGGTTCTTTGATAGTAATTTTTTTTCTTCTAACATGCCACTGGACTGGACACCTCAAACTGACCCACCTCCTGACTTCTCTTCTCAGTAACAAAGCTACTGTCCACTTGTCACCCAAGCCTCTTTCATTCTTATCCAGTCTGATATAGTCTGATCATTCCACCTCCCAAACCTTGCTCAAACAATGGCTTCCTTTCTCTAGCAATCCATACACTGCCTGACTCACTGAATGATGGGAATTCTGTGTCATCTTCTACAAAACATAACGTATGGTCTACAAATTTCAGTTTCAGATTTTCTGAAAGTAGAGCAAGATTTTAAGCATTTTAGAAGTAATTTGTAGAATCCTATTCTTTTTTCATAATTTTTTTCCGTCTCTGTCATATGCCTCAATGAGGTTAATTTTTTAAATGAGGCAGTTTAATACTTAACTGATATAGAAAGATCTCAAAATATATAGTAAATGAAAAAATAACAGATTTTGAATATTATGTATATTATGTCCTTATTGGGTGTGTTTTTTTGGGGGGGAAGAATAAGTACAAAAGTGACTATGGTTGCTGCCTGATAATTTCTGGTTCTGTTAGTTTTACAGAATGAGGATAAGTTTAAAGAAGGAGGAAGTGAATATTGGGATTATCTTTGAACAGTCCATTTGGAAATAATACTGTCTATTGAGCTATAGAAGGCTGGAAAGCTTTTATTCAGAACAAGTAAGTATACTAGGAATAAAATCTGTCTGGTCATATAGTATGCCACCAAATGATACTGAGTGAAAAATCAATTCATTCCTTCCCCTGAGGAGTTATATGTGGAATTCCCCATAAATATTATTTTGTGGGTTTGAGAATTCAGTTATAAACCTGGCAGCCCATGGTAAAAGGCAGAAACACAGTTAGGGTAGGACTTACACAGAGCAATCAGGTGTGTTTTTAAATACTGGTCCTCTGTCACCTATTAGTCTAACCTCCCAGCCAGATAGCAGAGATCTGTACCTATCAAATGCATTGTGAAGAAACATGGTGTTTCACATGGCAACCAAAATGTAATTCATATATATATATATATATATATATATATATATATATATATATTTTTTTTTTTTTGAGACCCAGTGCACAAAATTCATGCACTAGGTGGGAGGTGTACCTCAGCCCAGCCTGCATCCTCTCCAATCTGGGATCCCTCTCACAATCCAGGATTGCTGGCTCTCAACCGCTCGCCTGCCTGCCTGCCTGCCTGATTATGTAGGATTTCTGAGAGGAAGGGAGAGGGAGAGAGAGAGAAACAGCAATGATGAATCACCAGTTGGCTGCCTTCTGCATGCCCCCTACTGGGAATTGTGTCCACAACCCAGGCATGTGCCCTGACTAGGAATCAAACCATGATCTCCTGGCTCATAGGTTAATGCTCGACTACTGAGCTATGCCAGTCGGGCAACTCTTTCCATTTTGATTACTGGGTATAGTCCTGTGCTATCCAATGCAATGGCCACTAGCCACGTGTCTATTTAAATAAATAAAATGTATTATAAAACTCAGTTGCATGAGCACACTAGCCACATTTCAAGTGCTCCATAGCCACATGTGGCTAATGGTAACTCTATTGGACAGCAGAAATATAGAACAGGTTGATCATTGTAGAAAATTCTACTGTATCGTGCTAGTCTAGAAATAGGTATTCTGATAACAATGAATACTGAATGAGTGAAAGAAAGAATGAGTGAATTAGCAGCATTGTTTTCACATAATTACTTGATAAGAGAGGGTATGGTAGTACACAGGAACATATACCATGGTTATTAATAAGAACATCTGATAGTTATATAGCAGTATATTTTGCAAATTTTAAAACATTTTAATGTATGTGACTTTATTCAGTCTTTTCACAAGCTCTTTAATAAAGTCAATGTCTTGATTTTACAGCTGAAGAAAGGTAGCATCCAAAAGACTAGTCTTGCCCAGGAGGTCATGGGTTTGATTTTTGGCCAAGGCATGTGCCCAGGTTGTGGGCTCAATCCCCAGTGTGTGGGGTGTGCAGAAGGCAGCCGATCCAAAATTCTCTCTCATCATTGATTCTCTCTCTCTCTCTCTCTCTCTCTCTCTCTCTCTCTCTCTCTCTCTCTCTCTCTCCTTTCCTCTCTGAAATCAATAAAACATATATATTTAAAACAAAACAAAACACACACAAACCCCAAAAGACTAGTCTTATAACCTTGGGGAGGACTCTAGGCCTTTCTGAGGCAACATTTCTTCGGCTGTAAAATGAAGATTGCGACTAGATTCAGACTTAGAGGTCATTTCCATACAGAGAATGTAAAAGCCAGAGAACAGATGAGACTGGCAAACAGGACGTATAGACAGGGATGTGGTAACGTCCCAGCTGAGGTTAGCAGTAGAGATTTGTGACAGAGAGAAAGGCAAGTTGGGGTGGGATCCTCAGGGTTGGAGTGCCTGATGGTGCATCTCAGACCAGAGAAGCCACAGGTCCTTTGGGAGGGGCCTGGCTACTTGAGTGAATCCATGAAGATTTGAAAACCAGGAGCAGGCCGAAACCGGTTTGGCTCAATGGATAGAGCTGACTGAAGGGTCCCGGGTTCGATTCCGGTCAAGGGCATGTACCTTGGTTGCGGGCACATCCCCGGTTGGGGGGTGTGCAAGAGGCGGCTGGTCAATGACTCTCTCTCATCGATGTTTCTAACTCTCTATCTCTCTCCCTTTCTCTCTGCACAAAATCAATAAAATATATTAAAAAAACAAAAAAACAAAAAAACAACCAGGAGCAGCCTCGCCCAGGAAGAAAGCTGGTGCAGGTAGGGTCTAAGAGTAAAAAACCAGGGAGACATTTCACCAAGCTGTCATGGACTGCCTGGGTACAGCGTGGTCTGCATTTGACAGAAATGGCATAGCTTCCCCAGGGACTTCTAGAGCTAAGAGGGCTTATCCTGGAGACAGATAACTATTCTTCAGTGATGCACTTCAGCAAAGACCAAAATCTTTGGCAGATAAAAAATGCTACTCCTTTGAGGGATAACAGCTAAATAATGCCTAAAAACAATGGCTAACATATATTGATCTATCACTTTGTATAAGATACTATACATGAATTCTCATAACACCTTCACAAGCTGAACACTGCTCTCAACACCATGGTACAGATAAGGAACGAGTGGTGTACTGGAGCTGGTTCTTACTGTTTTGTGAGACCTTGTTGCTGAATTTTCGTGACTTTTGTTACCCAGTTAAAATACATTATTACCTTGAAATCAACCATGGTGGGTATTTATAATGTGGAGATTGTTAAGTGCTACGGAGTAGGGCCTTCACCCCCAGAGAGCCAGGGTGTTCAACATTTAGCAGCACAGCACTGAAACAGGCTCAGAGAGGTTTAGCAACTTGGCAAGGTTGCACAGAGAGTAGCAAGTGGCAGACCCTACCTAGGCCAGTCTCCTTCCTCTAACGCCTACTGTGATTTTACTGGGGACCATTTTATATTGGGAAATAAAACTGTTCATCTTACTTTATTACCAAAGAAACACCATCTTGCTCACCAAGGGGTTAGGGATAAGGAGCTTTGCCGGGCTTTTCTTCAGGGCCTGGAATTCAAGCATTTGCCTCTCCATAACTCAAGATGGGTCTAAAGGGGGGAAAAATCATGACCCTAATGCTCTGGCAACACTGCATTCATATTTTACACAAGTGAATAAATACGTATATATTTCCCCATCTCCTCAGTGAACTTCATTAAGGAGAACAGTCAGGCCCTCATTCAAAGGATGGGAATGACTATTATAAAGCAAGTTGTGGACGAGCTCTTTGTGATGAAGGTTCTGAATTTTGAAGAAGTAAGCACCATTTGCTGCGAGAAGGTCGAACAGGATGCTGCCAGAGGGATCGTACACATGATTTTGAAGAAGGGTTCGGAAGCCTGTAACCTCTTTCTTAAATTCCTTGAAAAGTGGGACTATTCTCTGTTTCAGGACTTGAATGGACAAAGTAAGTATCAGATTGCTTTGTATTAATATCTGTTCCACAAATAGACTAAGCCACGATGAAGACCCATGATCCCCATGACAGAGCCTCCGCTCTCCTCCCTCTTCATATCACTGGGTGGTGTCCATGGTAGGGAAAGCTCAGGCACCCTCGGGAAAAACTCCCATTAGATCACTTGGCGGTGAAGGCGATAGGTGACTCCAGGGTTGGGGAACAGACGATGAAGAGTAGCCTCATTTCAAAACCAAACTGGACCATGGAGGCACCTAAGAAGTCCATACAGTAATGGTTTCCACCAGCCCATGACCCAAGCACCATAGTAAAGAAAGCCTGACTGACTGACTAAAGAAGCATGATTCTGCTTTTGGTAAAATATTAATTTATTTTTTACTTTTAAACATCACTAGACTTTTTTAAAATACATTTTTATTGATTTCAGAGAGAAAGAGTGAGGAAGAGAGACATAGAAACGTCAATGATGAGAGAATCATTAATTGGCTGCCTCCTGCACGCCCCCTACTGGGGATTGAGCCAGCAACCCAGGCATGTGTCCTTGACTGGAATCAAACCAGTGACTCTTCTGTCTGCAGGCCTACGCTCTATCCACTGAGCCATGCCGACTAGGGCTACTTTTTATTTTATTAAACTGGTAAATTACTTCACGGCAGATTTTAATCAAGGTTAAGGCCTGATCAGCCAGCCATCTTCCCACTGTTCTCAGGTACTTTTCTCAACCCAAACACAGACTCCTCCCATTTCCAATCAGCTGGCGGAAAGGAAGGAACAGAAGTCTAGAGGGGAGGAAAGGTAAAGGGTGACAGGGAAAAGCAGGAATACATGTTTGGAAGCCCTTGTGCCAGCTGAGAACTGGGGGAGGGAGTGAAAACCATCAGTAGAAGATTCTCATTCTCCTGACCCTGGGCTCTGGGGGAGACACAGAACTGGGTCCTCGTTAATGTCACCTCTTCTCCAACAGGCCTTTTTCATCAGATGTCAGAAGGAGACTTGGATTATTTGGCTCAAGATTTAAAGGATTTATACCACTCCCCATATTTTCTGAACTTCTATCCCCTGGGTGAAGATATTGACATTATTTTTAATTTGAAAAGCACCTTCACGGAACCCGTTCTCTGGAGGAAGGACCAACACCATCACCGTCTGGACCAGCTGACCCTGAGTGGCCTGCTGGACACTCTTCAGAGCCCCTGCATCATCGAAGGGGAGTCGGGCAAAGGGAAGACCACTCTGCTACAGCGAATCGCCATGCTCTGGGCCTCGGGAAAGTGCGGGGCCCTGACCAAGTTCAAGTTAGTCTTCTTTCTCCGTCTGAGCAGGGCCCAGGGTGGACTCTTTGAAACCTTGTGTGACCAACTCCTGGAGATCCCCGACACCATCCGAAAGCAGACGTTCATGGCCATGCTGCTAAGGCTCCGGCAGAGGGTTCTTTTCCTCCTGGACGGCTACAACGAGTTCAAGGCCCAGAACTGCCCCGACATCGAAGCCCTCATCAAGGAAAACCACCGCTTCAAGAACATGGTCATGGTCACCACCACCACCGAGAGCCTGAAGCGCATCAGGCAGTTTGGGGCCCTGACCGCCGAGGTGGGGGACATGACGGAGGAGAGTGCACAGGCTCTCATCCGGGAGGTGCTGGTCAGGGAGCACGCGGAGGGCTTGCTGCTGCAGATTCAGCAGTCCCGGTGCATGCGGAATCTGATGAAGACCCCCCTCTTTGTGGTCATCACGTGTGCCATCCAGATGGGAGAAAGCGAGTTCCACTCCCACACGCAGACCACGCTGTTCTGCACCTTCTATGACCTGCTGGTGCAAAAAAACAAGCACAGGCAGAAAGGGGCGGCTGCCGGCGACCTCGCTCGGAGCCTGGACCACTGCGGAGACCTGGCCCTGGAGGGCGTGTTCAACCGCAGGTTCGATTTCGAACCGAAGGATGTGTGCGGCGTGCACGAGGATGTCCTGCTGACCACGGGCCTCCTCTGCAAATACACGGCCCAACGGTTCAAGCCCACGTACAAGTTCTTCCACCAGGCATTCCAGGAGTACGTAGCGGGACGCCGGCTCAGCCGCCTGTTGGCCTCCCGGGAACCGGAGGAGGTGGCCCGGGGGAAGGGTCACTTGCAGAAAATGGTTTCCATCTCAGACATCACATCCAAGTACAGCAACCTGCTCCTGTACACGTGCGGGTCGTCGGCCGAAGCCGCCAGGACTGTCCTGAAGCACCTGGCGGCCGTGTGTCGCCACGGCAGCCTGCCCAGCATCCCCGTCCCCAGGAGGCCTCTCTGGAGGCAGGAGTCCATGCAACACGAGAAAAGCACCACCGTGCGGGACATGCTGCAGGCCATCAACATCAGTTCCTTCACAGAGTGCGGCATCAACCTATTCCACGAGAGCGCGTCCGAGGCGGACCTGAGTGAAGAGTTTGAAGCTTTCTTTCGCGGCAAAAGCTTGTACATCCACTCGGAGAACATCCCCGACTACTTGTTTGACTTCTTTGAGCGCTTGCCTAACTGTGCGAGCGCCCTGGACGTGGTGAAGCTGGACTTCTACGGGGGAGCCTCGGCCTCAAGGGACCAGCCCCCCGAGGGCACGAGCAGGCCCCCCGGGGGAGAGGCCTCCGGCACCTACATCCCCGGCAGGGCCGTGTCTTTGTTCTTCAACTGGAAGCAGGAGTTCAAGGCTCTGGAGGTCACCCTCCGGGATTTCAGCAAGCTGACGACGCAGGACATCAAATACCTGGGGAAGATCTTCAGCTCGGCCGCCAGCCTCCGGCTGTCCGTGAAGAGGTGTGCCGGGGTGGCCGGCAGCCTCCGCTCCGTCCTCAGCACCTGCAAGCACATTCACTCCCTCGCGGTGGATTCCAGTCCCCTCGCCACCGAGGACGAGCAGCACATCACCTCCGTGGCAAACCTGAAAACACTGAGCATTCGCAACCTCCGGACTCCGCGGCTGCCAGGTACTGTCAGCCTCAGCAGTGGAAGCCGTCATGGAACCTGGCTAAGTACCGTGGGAATATTAGGCAGCCTATTGTTTTGCTTTAATTTTCTTTTCTTTATTTTTATTTTTTAAATATTTTTTATTGACTTTTTTTACAGAGAGGAAGAGAGAGGGATAGAGAGTTAGAAACATCGATCAGCTGCCTCCTGCACACCCCCTACTAGGGATGTGCCCGCAACCAAGGTACATGCCCTTGTCCGGAATCGAACCTGGGACCCTTGAGTCTACAGGCCAACTCTCTATCTACTGAGCCAAATTGGTTTTGGGTGCTTTACATTTTCTAATAGCTTTTCCCAGGCGCCAGGACTTGAGAAGGAGATGGGAGGACTGGAGGAGGATCGGTGTGGGAGGAAGGCTGCCAGGTTGGGAGGCCCGAGGGAGGATTTCCAGGGTTGAAGCTATGTAGTTTGAGTAGCTATATAGTTTATATCGCAAAGTGTGTATTTTCCTGTGTGTGTGTGTGTGTGCAATCTGTGTTTCATGTACCCACAACTGTAAACCTACTTCCCCACTCTTTCTCTCCCCCGTGTACAGAGGATAAGCTTGTCTTGAGTGAATTCTCCCCCCTCTCAGCATCTCCATCTCCATCCAGCACTCACTGCTTCCCTGCCAGGGGCTCCCCTCCCCCCAGCGAGTCTGGGAGGAAATCCAGCTGGTAAACTCATCTCCTGCAGGAGCTGGTGGCTAATTGTGTCACTAGATTCTTATCTTGGAAAGTGCACCACAAACCCAGCCCCATCACCACCCCAAGTATTATTTATTTTGAAAAGAGATTTGGGGAACAGATTTTGTTTACCATGAATCTCAGACTCCAGACACACACATGCAGGGGCAATCTTTTTGGGCAAAGACGAGTTTCCCCCAAATTCAAAGTAACACTACAGAGGAGTATCTGCTTTCTGTGCAGATCCGCCCAGTGGCCAGGAGCTGCCTGATGTGAAGCCCTGGCAGGGGCCTCGCCCTACTTGCCTGTCATCTCCTAGTAAGATTAGTTTTCATTCTCAAGCGACGTCCCATTGTGGGTCTCACTTGTCACCTACAGCGGAGCTCTGCTGTGATTTAAGAATCTAGAATCTTTGGCACAAATAATTTTTGCAGCCTCCTACTGGATGCAGGAGTTCCTTCTATAAGATTCTAGAGAGTCACCCAGACGTTATTCGACTACCTTCCATGTCAGGAGGCTCACACTCTCCTCTTCATGGCTATTCCTTTGTCACCATCACACACACTGGTCGCCTATGTGCTGGACTGGCCTGCACTGTGTTTAGAATTTTCTGTTTCATGCTTTGTTCTTAATTTTTAAAATCCAGTGTCTGAGAAGTATATTCACACAGTCCCAATGATATCATAAAACAATCTAGAGTGAAGTTTCCTTATCCTTTTGCCATGGCTCTTCTTCCTGAAGGAGTTGTCAGCATTTTTTTTTTTAATCATTCTTTTTCTTTTTTTAAATATATTTTATTGATTTTTTTACAGAGAGGAAGAGAGAGGGAGAGTTAGGAACATCGATGAGAGAGAAACATCGATTAGCTGCCTCATGAATGGATGTTAGATTGTGTCAAATATTTTTTCTGCATCAATTTATAAGATCATGTAGTTTTTCTTCTTTAGACTGTTTTAGTGAATTACATGGATTGATTTCCAAATATTGAAATAGTTCTGCATTCTCTGTATGGAGTCCATTTTATTGAATATTTTTGCTTTTTTTTCTCATGAGTGATATTGGCCTGAAAATTCCTTTTGTTTCATTCTCTTCATCTGGGTTTCATATTAGTTATTGGAGCTTCATAAAATATGTTGGGAATTGTTCCCTCTACTTCTATTTTCTAGAAGTGATTTATAGGATTGGTTTATTTCTTCTTTGAATGTTTGGTAAAATTTGCAAGTTAAATTATCTGGGCCTGCAGATTTCTCTTTTTAGAAAAATTTAAACTTTGTTCTTAATAGATTTATAGGATTCTTTAGGTTACCTATGTCGTGTTGGGTGAGTTATAGTAGTTTGTGGTTTTCAAGAAATGGGGCAATTTTACCTGTGTTAAATTCACGTGTGTAGATTTATTTATATTATTCTCTTCCTATTAACATCTGCAGTTTTGTAGTGATATCTTCTCTTTTATTTCTGATATTGGTGATTTGTTTTTCCTCTTTTCCTGTCAGTCTTGCCAGAAATTGCTCAATTTTATTGATCTTTTAAAATACATTTTCACTGCTTTTCCCTACTGTTCATCTGTTTTGAATTTTTATTTATTTCTGCCTTGATCTTTATTAATTTCTCCCTTCTTGCATTGGGTTTATTTTGGTCTTCTTTCTCTAGTTTCTTAACTAGTAAGTTTACGTTATTGATTTGAGACTTTTCCTTATTTCTAATATAAGCATTCAATACTATAGACCTCTCTCTTAATAGTTGGTTAATTGCAGCTTTTGATATTATATTTTTATTTTTGTGTTTTTCAAAAAGATTACCTAATTTTCCCTGAGACTTCCTATTTGATCTATGTTTATTTAGAGGTATGCTGTTTAATGTCCAAGTGTTTGTAATTTCCTTGTTATCTTTATGCTACTGTTTTCCAGTCCAGTTGCATTACATTTGGAGAACATACTTTAGCTAAAGATGATGCCTATTTCTGACCCAAAACCATGCATTTTGGTGTTAATTTCATGAGCATTTCTTGCCTATGGTAATAACAAAAATCTTTTCATTGGTAATAGAAATTTAATAAATGACAGCTGAACAAAGTCCAATTTATTTTCTTTTGGCAGGTGGTCTGACAGACAGCTTGGGTAATTTGAAGAATCTTATGAAGCTTATGCTGGATAACATTAAGATGAATGAGGAAGATGCTATAAAACTAGGTTAGATTTTTCCCCTCTTCTTTTATTAATGTACATTTGAGAATAAGAACAGTTAACTCAGTCTTACACAAGGCAAGGATGTCTTTATGCATTTGTGACTGCATTGGTTTTCCTGGACACTTTTCTCCACCCTGATAGCGCCATTTATGTACACCATTAGATGATAACCCTTTGGAGAACAGAAGACAGGATATGTTTTATCTTCCTGGCTGATTGACTCTGTTTGCATTTTAAAAATATATATATTTCTTTATTGATTTCAGAGAGAAAGGGAGAGGGAGATAGAAACATCAATGATGACAGAGAATCATTGATTGGCTGCCTCCTGCATGCCCCCTACTGGGGATTGAGCCCACAACCCAGGCATGTGTTCTGACTGGGAATCAAACCGTGACCTCTTGGTTCATGGGTGGAAGCTCAATCACTGAGCCACACTGGTGGGGATAATTTTTCTATTTTACTGCTAGTGAAACCTAATAGAATAGTTTATTGACCTGCCCAAGTTCTCACCAATTGGTAGAAAAGGTAGAAAAACACCTACCTGAGACAATCTGGTTCTACTATTAAGGAATTAGAATAAACCAGTCTAAATTTACTATTCACCAAAGAGTTACTGTGCAATAGGTTAGACAGTAAGCACACTAGTACTTGACAAACTAATACTTTTCATTGACTCCTCACAATAGTCCTAGTACATAGGTATAGTTATCCCTAAAACCATAGTTAAAAGATTGAATAACTTGCTTACGCTCACACAATTATCAAGTATAGGATCCAGGAACCAAACTGACTGCAAAGCTCATACTTGCAACCTCTGAGCTATGTGTACTCCTAAGACAATTAATATTCACCTTCTATGTGCCAGGACCGTCCTAAATACATTACATACCTTATCCGCAACCTTCCCAAAGTGCTGCAAGGTAGCTAGTATTAAAACAGTACATTTCTTTCCTCTAGGTTAGAGTACCATCAAGATCAACTACTATTTTAATGGCACAAAGGTATGCCTAATCAAGCCAAGGGACATCTTAGAATGTTTTCACTTGTACCACTGATATACGATAAATCTTTCTCCCAGTTAACATGCTACATTGGATATGGTCTTCATTGTAAAGCACCAGAAAGGCCCCATATCATGCAGTCCCAGCAGGGCTCTTTTGAGGCTGTTCCTAGAAACACACCAAGGAACATCCCCATGCTGCCCCTTGGAATTCAGATTCCACCCCTTCTTTGATTTTGGAAGGGTTTAAAGAGACAGTGCTCACTCAGAAGACCTATTTCTATGAAAAAAGTTGTGGTAAAGGCACGCATGGATACCCATTAAAATACTGCACATTTGCTATAGGTTTTCTCATGCTATCAAGAGAATGACATCCACAAAAGAGATTGTATGGCCCAGAAGACTGGAAAGAGAGTTGAAAAAAAATCTGCTCTCTTTGGCTTTTTATAACACAAGGTCTCTACAGAAAGAGCAAGGACTCGTTGCAATTGTTGATTGCCTTCTTTTCAGCCATTCTTCTATGGTTAAATCAAATTCACTGGGTATCCTAATGCATTTCCTTTCCCTCTATTTGCAGCTGAAGGTCTGACAAACCTTAAGAATATGTGTTTACTTCGCTTGACCCACTTGTCTGACATTGGGGAGGGAATGGATTATATAGCCAAGTCTTTGTCAGCCGAACCCTGTGACCTTGAGGAAATCCAATTAGTCTCCTGCTGCCTGACCGCAAGGGCTGTGAAGACCCTAGGTAACTTGCCTGCATTGACTGAGAACAGTGTGAGAGAAGATGTGGTGCTTTCGTAGTAATTCGTGCACGCTAAGTCTCTCAAGCAGCAATTTAATTTTTAGAGAAACTGGAAAAAATAATGAAGACATCTGGGTAATATCTAGTCTGTTTTTAATGATTTTCTCCACAATTAGAATGAAAATGAATTATAGAGAACTTCAGACTAATTGAAGATGTTATTATTTTAAGAAAAGGTGAAGAGGAAGAAAGTAAGAAGTAGGTGCTTGATGCTTTAAAGTATTTGGATAAATGAATAAATAAAAGATTGAGAAGCAGAGAGAGAATTTCCTTAAATGCTGTCAGGCCTTCTAATTCTTATCCATTGCCCTGTTAAGACAGAGTCAATGGGCATTAAGATAGGCGTTGAGTATTTGAGTTTCCAACGAGTGTGAGTACTAAGTATGAAAAAAACTAAGTATGAAAAAACCTTTGCATATTACTGGATAAACTGGATTATGTTAAACTATGGTGTTTCTTAAATTTAGATTTTGGGGGGAAATAGTATAACCCTTTAAAAATTAAACAATATAAAACTGATGGGGAAAAGAAGGGAAAAAAAAGAAACACACACACACAGCAGAAGAAAAAGGACTGATGGAGTCTGTAGAAATTACCTAGATTACTTATATGCTAATATGAATAAAAGACTAGAGAAATCCATGATTGGAGAAGCTAGGCAAGCACTGGGAGGTGAGAGTGGATAGCACACTCCCTTACTCTCCACCTGCCACTGGGAGGAGCCAGGTTTGGAATGGACAATAGCAACCATCCCCTTGTTAGGTGGAGCCTGTGGGCTTTCTAAAGCACCAAACTTCAGAATGTATTTCACTCTAAGAAAAGGATCCATAGGACTGACTTAAAAAATAATCACTAGTCTTGTAACAAGATTATCATTCATGCAAAATGACTAATTTTTTAAAGGAGATTTTTCTAATCAGTCTTGATAGGAAAAACTTCAACTATCAATAGATTAAGCATCCATGATAACTACAGGTGTCCCCACTATCAGAGCATTCTTATAGAAACCTTTCTTTTTTTTTAAATAAAATTTTTATAACTTAAAATATATATATATATATTATTGATTTCAGAGAGGAAGGAAGAGAGAGAGAGAGATAGAAACATCAACGATGAGAGAGAATCATTGATCGGCTGCCTCCTGCACACCCCTGCTGGGAATCGAGCCCGCAACCCAGGCATGTGCCTGACCTGGAATCAAAACCATGACCTCCTGGTTCATGGGTCGATGCTCAACCACTGAGCAACACTGGTTGGGCCTATGAAACCTTCAATAAGCATTAAGCAATTAAGCGATTACCATTCATCTTCATGGAAAATTTTCGAGCATTCCCAGACTCCAAAATGACTTCTTTGTTAGACTTTCTTATACTTTAGGACACACTTGCTGACAGGTGCACAATAAATCAAGATAAAGCACAGATGCTCGCAGACACAGCTCAAAGCTCTGGCGCCTTGATGCTGCAATGCGGACTGTAGTTCCGAGGAAGGGGCTTAGCTGGATGCCGCCATAAGGCTCTCTGCAAAACCAACATTGAACGCTCGTTTTGCTTTTCGCCTTCTTTGTAAAAGCAAGGCGAAAATCCTCTTTGGATTTCTTTCAGTTAGCGAAGTGCGGTAACTGAACTTTGGAAAGGGTTCTTAGCTAGAGTGGTGGCATTTTGTGACTAATGTTCTTATTAAAATTTTTATTATTAACATCACCACTATAACTACCAAAATAATCTAAACAAAGAACAGCTCATCTCCTTGGTTCTTGTTCCTTCATCTCTCCTGCATGAGAGGAGCATTTAAGAATCAGAAGCAACCTCACATTTCCTCTAGTTCAACTTCCCCAGTCTAAAGATGAAGTCACAGAGGTTCAGAGAAATGGAGTGACTCTCCTGTAGTGAGAACAACTGTAGTCGGCGCTGCTTCAGGTTTTACTGAGCAATAATCACCACTTTGCCTTTAGGCTGACGTTTATGGTCACAATACTTGTCCATTCGGTCACAGTCATGGGAGTAGCCAGATACTTTTGAGAACAGCTAATCAAATCTAATAAAGACTTGTATACTCTCAACAAAGAAGACAAGGGCTCAGAATTCTTATAAGGATTTTTAAAAATTAATCCTGATAGTCTTTTTCTTTTGGGTTAATTTTTTTTTCCAGCTCAGAATCTTCACAATTTGGCCAAACTGAGCATTCTTGATTTATCTGAGAATCACCTGGAAGAGGATGGAAATGAAGCTCTCCGCGCACTGAGTAAGAATGACCATTTTGCCTTAGAAAGTCAGGAAGCCCTCTCTTATACTGCCCTTAAGGAGCACAGGCCACGGCTTTTGAGTCACCAGTTTTCACAGGCTCACTGCACCTGAGGCTCCCACCTGCTTGCCTCCTCCTATAGAGCCAGTGTCTGAAAGTAGGGCATGCTTAAGACCAATTGGCTCAAGGAGTTAGTAATAAGATTTTTAAGATGTGATCAAGACATTGCGATTATGTTTTTAAAAAAAAAACAACAAAAAAAAACCCACCTGATACTTACTGTCTGAGATTTACTTCAGAATAAGACAGGAGGGAAGGAATTTGGTGAGGATAAAGCAAACATCCATGATTTGCTGTTTGTTAAAAGTTGGTGTATTAGTGCTCACAGCTTATTATACTATCCTGCATAGTGTTTGTATATTCTTGAACACTTTCCATAAAATACTAACCAAAAAGCGAATTGATTCTCACTGCACACTGAGTAGGCTGAAGAAAGAAAGACCACTCCTTCTGCTTTATCACTCTGTCCTTCATCAGTTTTGAGATGGATCCAATAATTCCTGAACTGTCTCTGCTTCCTCAAGTTGACAGGCTGCACGTGCTGGAACAGCTCAGCGTGCTGATGCTGCCCTGGGGTAGCGATGTGCGGGTCAGTCTGGCCAGGCTGTTGGAACAGCTGGAGGGCGCCCCACAACTCACCAAACTTGGGCTGAAGAACTGGAGGCTCACCGATGCAGAGATTAGAATTCTAGGTAGGTACGCACGCAGAGCAAGGAGAAAAGAGGTTGGTCCTAACAAAGTTCTTTTCTTTTTTTTAATATTTCTTTATTGACTTCAGAGAGTAAGGGAGAAGGGGAGAGAGAGAGAGAGAGAGAGAGAGAGAGAGAGAGAGAGAGAGAGAGAGAGAGAGAGAGAGAAAGAGAGAAACATCAATGATGAGAAAGAATCATTAATTGGCTGCCTCCTGCACGCCCCCCCATTGGGGATCAAGCCCACAACCCCACAACCCAGGCATGTGCCCTTGGCTGGAATCGAACCCAGGACCCTTCAGTCTGCAGGCTGACACTCTATCCACTGAGCCAAGCCGGCCAGGTCCCTAACAAAGTTCTTAAATTGACTTTCTCTTTCTTCTTTCTTTCTTTCCCCCTCTTACCATCCTCCCTCCCCTCCTTCCTTTCATGCCCTTTTTTTATTTACTTGCCCCCTCCCAATATATATATATATATAAACATATTTTATTTATTTATTTTTTTTTACAGAGAGGAATAGAGTGCTAGAAACACCGATGAGAATCATTGATCAGCTGCTTCTTGCACACCCCCCACTGGGGATGTACCTGCAACCAAGATACATGCCCCTGATCGATATCGAACCTGGGACCTTTCAGTCCGCAGGCCAACACTCTATCCACTGAGCCAAACCGGTCTCGGCGCCCCCTCCCCTTTTTAAAAATATTTTTTTATTGATTTTAGGGAGAGGGAGCTAGAACCATCAATGAGAGAATCATTAATTGGCTGCTTCCTGCACGCCCCCTACTGGAGGATCGAGCCCAAAATCCAGGCATGTGCCCTGACCAAGGAATCAAAACATGATCTTCTGGTTCATGGACCAATATTCAATCACTGAACCACACCAGCCCGGCTGCCTCCCTTTTTTTTTTTTTTTTTTTTTTTTTTTTGTACAAATATATTTAAAAGAATAACATGATTTAAAACACTGACCTGCCTTCAGGTCTTTAAGCATTTCAACTACAGTATTTACATTATTTGACGAGGTGTATTATGTAGAAACAGCTCTCCCTGCTCTTAACTGTCTGACATTCAGCAATGCCACTCCAATCTTGGCTCAAGTCTTTAAGTCACCTGCTTCGTATTCAAAACATAAGGAAGTGCAACTTTAACTGCTGTCACAGGATATCTGTAAGTGGCTGTGCTATAATATAATCCCAGAAACAAATGGAGATATAGAAATGACTGGACAGCGCCAGCCTCAGGCAGCTGACGAAGGATCCTCATGCCACCTGTATTCGTTACCAAGTTCTGTGGAACAGACCACCCCCAAACGTGGGGCCTTAACACAACTACAGACCTTACTTCTCAGCTCCTGTGGGTCAGGAGTCTGGGAGGGGCCCAGCTGGGTGGTTCTGGTTTAGGCTCCGTCATGAAGTTGCCGTCCAGAATCGGCTGGGGCTGCTGGAGGGTCTGCTTCCGGGGTGGCTGGCTCCTCCTGTGGTTGGTGGGTGAGTGCTGGCTGTCACCTGGAGGCCTGTTTCCCACCCCGGACTTCTCCAAAGGCTTCCTGAGCATCCTCCCCACATGGCAGCTCACTTCCCCAGAGCAAGAGATCCCAGAGAGAACCAGGTGGAAACGGCAGTGTTTCTTATGATCTAGTCTTGGCAGGTCATTCCTGCTGCACCCTCTTATTAGCCAGGTTAGCCCTGGTCAGGGTGGAAGGAGATGATACAAGGGAGTGAATTCTAGGCGGTGGGGATAATTGGATCCACCTTGAAGGTCATTGTATCATCCTAAGGCAATGGTCGGCAAACCGCGGCTCGTGAGCCACATGCGGCTCTTTGGCCCCTTGAGTGTGGCTCTTCCACAAAATGCCACGTGCGGGCGCGCACATACAGTGTGATGGAAACTTCATGGTCCATGTGCAGAAGTCGGTTTTCGGCCTGGGCGAGTCTATTTTGAGCCACACTCAAGAGGCCAAAGAGCTGCATGTGGCTCGAGAGCCGCAGTTTGCCAACCACTGATCTAAGGCAAAGGATTAGTGAAACAGCCTCGACTGCCTTCATTTCCCTCACAGATGATCTAGCATCTATCTGCAGGGCACATATTTTCAGTGTACAATTCTGTGGCATTAAGTACATTCCCATTCTTGTGCACCATCACCATCATTTTCATCTTGTCCGACTAAAACTCTGTACACAGTAAACACTAACTCCCCACCTGCTCCTCTTTTTAAAACCTTCTTAGAGATGTGTGTGTCTCTAAATCCTTAGGCTGCCCAAGGGTTTTGCCTTCCCCAAATTTGCTTTAAGTTATGGATTTTCCTTTCCTTTATTCTTTCTCCCCATCCTGGCACTCTGAGTCAACTTTCTTAGCACCTTCCCTTAATTCCTAACTCCACATCCACCTGCTCTACCTATGTACTCCCTTAATCCATCGAATCAGATCATCCTGGGTGTCATTCTTCAGGCCCCTCCTCCCTTCAGGGTGATATTGGAGGCAGATGGCTTCCGTGACAGACTGGTTAGCTAGCTAATAAATAATCCCTCTCAGGTATCCTCATTCCTTAAGTGAGTTGGAAAGGATGTATCTTTTCAAAAAGGCCTTTGGGGAGTGTGTAGAATTAGCATTACATGTGACAGAGGCATTTTTTAGGTAGAGACATTTTAGCATCTTCTAAATCTTTAAGTAGGTAGCTACTTAATCTGCCTACTTCTGAGCCTGGCCTGTGAGACCAGAGAGGGAGATGGTGTGTTTAACAAAATAAAAACTTAGCTATAGGTGAAAAGACAAAACCACTGAGCTACGTGGTGATTGCCACGTGATTTTGATTGCCTCCATATGTAAATGAGAAAAATAAGCATAACAGAAGACCCCAGTATAATTATGGATCTAGCAGACTTACTGAATGCTTGTGTGTAATTGTGAAAGGTAGGATTACATAATAGTTCCAAGTGGCAAGTTAATTAAATTTAATGTTGGCACTTCTACTTAGTAAAAAAAAAAAAAAAAAAAGATATTTTCATTGATTTCAGGGAGGGAGAGAAAGACAAAAACATCAATGATGAGAGAGAATCATTGACTGGCTGCCTCCTGCACACTTCTTAGTGGGGATTGAGCCTGCAACCCTGCAATGTGCCCTTGACTGGAATCGAACCCAGGACCTTTCAGCCTCCAGATCCACTGAGACAAACCAGCTAGGGCAGCAGGTCCACTTTCTTAAAGACATGCTTGACCATTTCTGCAAATTCAGGCTCTAGCTGCCTGTTAATTATCTTGTCCCCTTCCCATCTCCATCTCTTGCAGTCCCCATGACACTCCCCTGGCCCACAGTAGCAGCAGTCAATTTAGGCAATGACATTGAGTGATGGACATGTATACGGAGGCAGTAGCATCATGAAGCAAAATGTAATGAGACAGTCTCTCATTAAAGAAAGACTGCCTGATGAGATGCAGCGAGAACATGAGATGTGGGGTATGAAATTAGATACAGTGGTTGGCATGTGCTTTTTTGGAAAATCCTCAAGCCTGGATCAGTCTTAGTTTCCCACTTTTTCTGTACCTACACTCTGGCTACTGGGGAAAAAATTACACAGTTTGGCAGATAGGTACAATATAGGTTCATAGCGACACTTTTCAACTGAAACATTTAGAACCAAATGGTAAGAAAATACTATATATCAACACTTGTGGCATGCAGCAAAAGCAGGGCTTGAAGAAAATTCTCTTAGCCTTAAATACTTAAAGATGAAGGGCTGAAAATGAATCTTTCTAAATTAAGAAGCCAGTAAAAAAAAAAAAAAGCCAGTAAAAATAAAATAACAGGGAGTAAACACACAACAATAAACATAAAAGTATAGGCGTACCTCGCTGAATTGCACTTCGCTTTATTGAGCTTCATAGATGTTGAGTTCTTTCCGTACTGAAGGCAACACCCTCCACCAGCAAAATGATCCCAACTTCCTTGATTGTGGTGCTCTGGAATGGAAACTGGGCCACCCATGGGTCAGGGCTGCCTGGCACTGCCTGAGCCAATAAAGCACACAGCGTGAAGCCTATGAGTGTTTATTGCAATAATGCCAGCAGTACGGGAGTCAGCTGCCTATATGGGGTAAGGAAAAAGGTTACAGAGGAAAGCAGGAATGAGAAGCATGAGGAAGTAGGCAAGGTTAAGGGCAATGCGGGCAAAGGGACCAGATTGCTTCCGCAACAAGGTTGCTCACCTTCCATGATGTTAGGCGATTCTTGGAAAGGAGGATGGACTGCATTCCGGTGTTAATTCCCATGTCTTGGGGCGTACTGTCAGGTTAGAATGTGCTTTTTCTAATCAGAACAGAGCCATCACAGTTAACAGAACATGAGTAATATTTATTTCTTTTTTTTAAAATATATATATTTTATTGATTTTGTAAAGAGAGGAAGGGAGAGAGATAGAGAGTTAGAAACATCGATGAGAGAGAGTCATCGATCAGCTGCCTCTTGCACACCCCCTACTGGGGATATGCCTGCAACCAAGGTACGTGCCCTTGACCAGAATCGAACCTGGGTCCCTTCAGTCCCCAAGCCGACGCTCTATCCATTGAGCCAAACCGGTTTCGGCGTGAGTAATATTTCTTATAATTATAGCTAGTCTCCACTCTTCTGTCTGCCCCTAAGAGAACCACACCCTCAGCATCTCTAAGGTCTGCCTGTGTAAATCAATGAAACAAAAAATAAAGATTAACAAAACTTAAAATTGATCCTCTAAAAAGAGTTACAAAATAGATAAAAATCAAGCAAGACTGTTCAAGAAAGAAAGAGTGACATAATTTCATCAGTCAGTACAGAGACACAAGTGCATGTTTGTAATAGCTTTACTGACGATTGCTCCAAACTGAAGGTGACTGAGATGTCCTTCAGTAGGTGAATGGATGAACAAACTGTGGTACAACCACACAGTAGTATATCATTTAGCGGTAAAAAGAAATGAGCTATTAAGCCATGAAGAGACATAGGGAAATGTCAGGGGCTCAGGAGGAGGGGAGAGAGGGATAAACAGATGCAGCTCTGGTTTTTTAGGGCAGTGGAACTATTCTGCATGACACTGCAATTGTGCGTACGTGACAGCGTGCATTTGTCAAAACCCATAGAACTTTACTACACAAAGAGTGAGTGAACCTTAATGTATGCAAACTAAAAAAATCATTTAGGCGATCTGAGATACCTGAGAACAAAATGCAGACTGCGAAACAATCTAACTGTATTACAAACTATGAGACAATCTCACTGCAGGAAATGAGGGGCAAGGAAATGGACCTAATAACTTTGGAAATTATCTGTAAAACTAAAGGCAAAATAGCCCAGCCGGCATGGCTCAGCGGTTGAGTGTTAACCTATGAACCAGGAGGTCACAACTCGATTCCGGGTCAGGGCACCTGTCCGGGCTGTGGGCTTGATCCCCAGTCGAGAGGTATGCAGGAGGCAGCTGATTTTCTCATCATTGATATTTCTGCCTCTCTCCCTCACCCTTCCTCTCTGAAATCAATAACCATAGCCCCCATCTAATGTATAATGTATATTTTCCACACTATTTTGTAAGCCCAAAAAGACAGGCAGAGTGACTATGTCTGCCCTTTTTTAGCTATCCCCAGCATCTAGCAAGCACAATCTATGGTACACAGTAGGCACTCAAAAATGTTTGCCGAGTGAAAAACTGGTAAGAGCTCTGGCAACGCTAGAATTTTGTTTAGGATGCAGGAACCTGTGCTGGGCCAGGGGATGGTAAAGAATTAAAAGACGGACAAGAGAACAAAGCTGGGTCTGTGCGGGACGCTGCTGCCCTCTATGATGGAGAGACAGCGCCCCGGCTTGCAAGCTTTGTTTCATAGCGAGAGTCTGTTTTATAGCCAGATTTCATGAGGCAAAGTAAGGGCGTGGTCAAGATGTTTACAACATTCTCAAGCGTTTCGAATCTACTCAATTACAGGCACCTGATCAAGCTTTGTTTACTTGCACATGCCACAGCCTATATCACTCAGCCACGTGAAACCACGGGTTCGGACCATAATCTGTCCAGACACTGTAGCTGCTCTCCACAGGAACCCTTCAAGGATCAGAATCCTTCTACCCAGAGCATTTGAGATTCTGCTTAGAATTTGGATCAAGCCAGTTCCATGCTCCACAGCCCACGCACAGCCCACAGCTATAAATGTCAGATTCCTTTTCCCTCAGGACCAGTCTGCTCATCGTGATGACAAAAACACTGCCGATTACATGAACGGAATGCATGCCCTCAGATCCTGTGCTTGCACACGTTCTAACGAGTATCCAAAGAGTTCTTATTGATACCTTTCCTAAACCTCAGCAGATAGCCTCTATAAATAGTACACCTCTGAGAGTGGAATGGGCTTTAAATTCCTCTTTTTCAAGTTCCCTTGTGGTGGTGAAATCTGGTCTTCCAGTCAAGGAGAAAAGAAGTTGCTGTAAGGTGACCAGACCTCCCGATTTTTAACAATTTGTCCCACGTCCCACGGCGTTTTAAAAATGTCCCGATTCTTGGAAAGTATCGGGACTTTTTTTAAAACGCCATGGGACAAATTGTTAAAAATTGGGACTGTCCTGACAAAAGCGGGACATCTGGTCACCTTAGCCTTACAGACACTGACAACCAGCATTTTGACTGAGTGCATGCCACGCTGGGAAGTACGTGGAAAAGAGGCAGAAAGAGTGAGGAGAAAGCTACCTATAAGGGAAAAATAAGGGCTCCTTAGGAGGAGAAAGTGAGGCCACACGTATGTGTTGGGCTGGACACGGGCTCGCTGGTATAACAAGACTACACCATGACTCACAGAAGACAAACCTTACTTCCCTGTCCTATCGGTCCAGGGTGGATCTGCTCTGTGCAGATCCAGAAACCTACATTTCTTTTTCTTTTTTTAAAAATCTATATTTTATTGATTTTTGTACAGAGAGGAAGGGAGAGAGATAGAGAGTCAGAAACATCAATGAGAGAGAGTCATCGACCAGCCGCCTCTTGCACACCCCCCCAACCGGGGATGTGCCCGCAACCAAGGTACATGCCCTTGACCGGAATCGAACCCGGGACCCTTCAGTCCGCAGACCGACACTCTACCACTGAGCCAAACCAGTTTCGGCTAGAATTTTCAATAATCACCAGAGGCTCGGCCTGATGACAGCGACTGGTCTGGCATCCCCACTCATCTGCTCCACTATCCTGTTGTGGCTGATGCCCGCCATGTTCTGCTCTGCACACACACCCTCTGGTGGTCAGTGCATGTCATAGCAACCGGTTGTTCAGTTGTTCTGGTGTTGAGTCTATTTGCATATTAGCCTTTTATTATATAGCATAATTACATTAGTTAATTATACTGATTAATTAAATACTAATTACTATTTATCAGATTCCCTTACACTTTAGGAATAATGTAACTTGAAAATACAATGAACCGCATTCATAATCACTCCCCTATCTATAGAGAATTTCTAAAGTAAGGCACTGGTCCAAACATGACCATTTCTCTTAAAAAAAACACAAAACTGTTCTGCTTCCAACTAAAATACTAATTTCTATTTTTTACCAGGTGCATTTTTTGAAAAGAACCCTCTGAAAAACTTCCAGCAGCTGGATTTGACAGGAAATTGTGTGAGCAGTGATGGATGGCTTACCTTCATGGGTGTATTTGAAAATCTTAAGCAATTAGTGTTTTTTGACTTCAGTACTGAGAGATTTTTACCCGATGCAGCATTAGTCAGAAAACTTGGCCATGCGTTATCAAAGTTAACTTTTTTGCAAGAAGCTAGGCTTGTTGGGTGGCAATTTGATGATGACGATGTTAGTGTTATTAAAGGTTCTTTTAAACTAGTAACTGCTTAAGCAAAGGGCAACCTGAGCCCATGAATGCACTGGGGAACTCCATTACTTTCAGCCTGGTGTTTTAAAAATCTCTGCTCATATAGTCCAAAGGTTGGCAAATATATGGCAATCTATTATGCACCTAAAAATTATCCTTGTCAGCAGTGTTTGTCCTGTTTTTGTTGGTTTGTTTGTTTTTTTTACAAAGAAGTGAGAGGGATAGTTAGAAACATCGATCAGCTGCCTCCTGCACACCCCCTACTGGGAATGTGCCCGAACCAAGGTACATGCCCTTGACAAGAATCGGCAACGCTCTATCCACTGAGCCAAACCGGTCAGAGCTCAACTCGCCCCTTCCAAATTGCCTCTTCCTTTACTGATATCAGGATGATGTGTGGCATCAAAATTTCCTTAGCTGGCCTCTTGCATAGAAATCTTTCTTATTTTCACCATTCAGGAAAGAAAAGAAAGAAAAAAAAAAAGAAAAAAAAAAAAGAGGAAGCCAGGCAAATGAGACCAAAGGAGAGGAGGAAGTGGGAGTTTACTGATGACATGTGCTTTAGTTCTGTGTTTCATGATTCCTAACAGGATTATCAGATACTTGAAGGGTTCTCTTCTTCATCCCAGCTTCCCTTGGTCTCAAAATAGCAGGTCATATATGCATATCCATGGACACAGACAATAGTGTGGTGAAGACCTGGGGTTGGGGGTGGACTAGAAGGGGTCAATGGGGGAGGAAAGGTGGACGTATGTAATACTTTAAACAGCAGTGATGGAAAAAAAGATAGGTCACAAGAACCGATATAACGTATGCCCATGTACTTAGTACAGTGCCTGACATGTACTAGATTCTCAACAAATATTTGCTAATATGAGACTTAAATTACCAATAAACAGTTATTAAATAAAGAAGCCAGAATTATTTAAAACCATAAAACTCAAATAAATAAATAAAATCATAAAACTCCATGTCTGTTTTTTATTCAAAAAGTTTAATTCAAACAATTTGGAATGTGAAAAGCATTTTCTTATATGAAAAGCAGATCAGACTCCCAAAAAAGATTGGCATTCTTTAGTCAAGCAAAAAATAAATTGGCAGTTTATGAACAGTAAATCAGTCTTGAAATTGAGTCCACCCCAGTTGCTGATCCATGTATATAATTTCAATTGTGACTTTAAGGAAGAAATAAAAATGTACTCATTCTTTCATTACTCTATGGAAGCTAAGGCCACTTTGTCCTCATCTTTTCTTCAACACCTTTGTGACAGTAAGACTATTTTCTGGTTTTGATATTAACAAAAGGAGCACTGTGTGTGAAAATTTACCTGTGACAGATGCCTAGAAGTTGAATTGAGTTATAGGCTTTTTATAATTTTTTTATAGATTCTTCCAAATTGCCCTCCTGTACCACTTCATATTTTTCTTCAGTTTGTCTTAAGTTTAACATCATGTACTTTAATTTTCATCTTAAGTAGTGATATTGTGAAATCATGTGCTTTATGTATTGTGTCTTTTTAATGTGGATTAAGAGGTATAATAAAAAAATAATCCTTGCCAAGACCGGTTTGACTCAGTGGTAGAGCGTCGGTCTGAGAACTGAAAGGTCCCAGGTTCGATTCCGGTCAAGGGCATGTACATTGGTTTCAGGCACATCCTCAGTGGGGGTTGTGAAGGAGGCAACTGGTTGATGTTTCTCTCATCATCGATGTTTCTAGCTTTCTATCCCTCTCCCTTCCTCTCTGTAAAAAATCAATAAAATATATTTTTAAAAAATCCTTTCCCACAAAGAAATACAACTAAGAAAAATCTGTTTAAACAGATTTAAAAGATTTATTCCTGGTAAGTCTAAAATAATTCCTAAATGGTGTTAGCCTTCGGTTCACCTTCTATTTTCATGGCACCTCAAATTAATGGCTTGGGTAGTAGTGTAGGTAACACTTGGCCTATATGTTGAGGTAGTCACTGGGAAGAAATTCTGGGTACAATATTGTTTAGCAACTGGGCACATATTCTATAGATTTAGTCATATAATTTTAGAGCTGATAGTTTATAGATCCTAATTCAACCCCCACCCCCACCCCCACCCTATCTTTACGATGAGAAAGCTCAGGGAAGTTAAATGACTTGCCCCATGGTTACAAAACTACTTACATAGCGGCAGTATCAGTTTTGGAATCCAATTCTTGTCTTCCAGTCCAATGTTTTTTTCCATTACAAACAGTGATTTCTCAAACAGGGTTCATCACACTCCATGAATCTTGCTCTTAAATCACAAACCATGGGACAAGTATTTAATTTGAACTTCCCTTTTTTCTTTGTTTAGCTTTAAGTAACTCCACAGCAAGATTTACCAGTAAGGCTACTGTCTAAAGGCCTATGCTGGCCAAATTTATTATTTCCATATCTGGAAGATAGCCAGAGCTTGGCAAATGAGACGTTATGTAATAATGCAAGGAACAAAGTCACCTATAGCAGTTGGCAGTACTGAAGTTCAGCAAGTAGAGCGAATTCCTTCAGAACCCACAGGCAATGCCTCAAATAGTGTAGGCTGGCACAAAAGCACCAACTGCAAAGGTGTTGCTTCTGAGTGGGTGTTGCGGAAGTAGGCATTTAACCTCACACAGAGCTGTGTTCAGCACCTGGACACTTTGAAAATCCCAAAGGGATGGAGATGTGCATACAGTGGCAGCACATACATCTGAACCATCCCTCAGTACATGGCAGTTCTTCAGATTTCATGCAAGACCCGAATTCATATATAGATGAAGTCAATGGAGGAAAAACCACCCTGTAATGGTAGACCAAGAACGGGCAATAGTAATAGTTGGAGAACATAAGACAAAGGACAACAAACAGGTTGCCTTATTACATTTGACCAAGTTTCCTTTCCACCAACAGTCCAGGTAGTGCGGACTCTTTCTTCAGTAGGTAAAATGCCTGAACAGGTCGCAGATGCCAAGACAATGACCAACTCCTCAGCAAGCAAAGGGTATTTAGGACATGGTCATTTATTATCACAGGATTAGCTACTTGTGATAGAGATGGCTTCTTAGATGTTTGTTATTCCACAGTGAAGAAATAGGTGTTGCTCATATTTAAAAGAGGATGAGTTGATTGGAGAAACTTGCAAATTCTACATGAACAGGAATCTTCTCTAGATAGCTGAATGTTGGCTGGAAAAGTCACAAATATCCAGGAGTCACTGGATTCCACAAAAGTTGAATCCACTCTTAAAATCCCTTTTTAAAACCCTAATCATAAAACTCATATTATAATGAGAAAAACCTCAGGTAATTGCTGCTTGTTATATTTTTTTTTATGTAATGTTGGCCACATTAGAAAGTTCTTAACATTTGCACTTGGAAAGTAATCAAAACAAGTTAAAAACTGCCTGTAGCAAGTCTGAAAATACTGTACTCTATAATCTAAGATCCATTATCTTTTGGTAAAAATTTATAATATAACCTCAAACTGATTATGCAACTTTGAAAACATATCAAATCCCGTATTATAATGTATGTTGAATTCCATATATTTTGGTAACATATTTGATATGTTTTGTTTAAAAATTAAGAAATTATGTAAACCAATAAAAGTTACAAAAAAGATAAAATTCCATCATGTCAAAATCTGATTATGTGTAAGAGAGAAAACTGGAATTTCTTTATTGCACATCGCCAAAGGATTTGGTACTTATTAACCAGAATAAAACACTTTGAGAACCACAGACTATTTACAAATGTACTGAAATTTTTAAATGACAAAAACTAGGGAGTATGCCCTAGCCAGTCTGGCTCAGTGGATATAGAGTGTCAACCTGCAGAATGCAGATCCCAGGTTCGATTCCAGTCAAGGGCACATGCCCGGATTGTGGGCTCGATTCCCAATGCAGGAGGCAGCCAATCGATGATTCTCTCATCACAGACTAACTCTCTCTCCCTCTCTGAAATCAATAAAAATATGTTAAAAAACCAAAAACTAGGTAGAATATATTCTAAAACTTCTGATAAAAATTTTTGCTTTTACTTTGCAAGACGTAATTCAGAGGATCTCAAAGGAAAATGTAGCAATTAAGTTTGGAAAAGCCATAAAAGAGGACTTTGTTACTTTTAGGATGGATATTTTTATCCTTTCTTGAAATGTGTTTCATTATTCAAGACGCAGGTTTATAAATTTCACTGAAGACAATATAATGTGACAGATCTACTCCATCAAATGGTTCTCTTGTAAAGGTAATCTCATATCACACTATTGTCAACTTCAAAACCAAAGATAGCAAAATTCAAATTTAGAGAAATACACTTTCTAAAGGAAGCCTATTTAAAGTCTACAACATTTAGAAGTTTCTCACTGTTCTAACTATATCTTACAAAAATATAGTTTCATATAATGTGACCTAGCCTACTATTCTCTAACATTTACAACAAATGATTGAACAGTCAATGCAAAGTTGGATTACTAAGTAAATTGGAAGTCAAGGAGTCAATATTCCTCATAAAATAAATTAAATCACAGTATGTCATGGTCTTGGTTGTCCAATTCTATTGTTAGTCCCATATCTACCTGGTATATTTGTAAAACCAGTCCTGAATCCTTGGGTTGCTCCAATTCCTGGAACTCCAAGTCCTTGATTAACCATGCTGCTATAAGGTATGTGTCCATGATTAAGTCCCAGACCATAAGGTCTTGTTTGTGTGTTTAGAAGAATAACTGGGTTCACATTTTTTCCAGGAGTGTTAAATGAAAATTCTGGAGGTGGACTACTAGGTTTGGTTGGAGTTGATGTGACAGGGTTCAACTCATCAATGCCCTTTAAAGGAGGCATGGGTATTATGTGATGATCTGAAAAATTGAGGACATTGGCTGCAACAGGCCCCGATGGTAAAGAGGGTCTTATCCAGTCATCCTTGAAAATTTGAACAGTCAGCGTAGACACTAGAGTGTACAGTCTGTTGGTCACATGAGCAAGAACCATTTGTTCGTTTGCATCTCGGCGAATTCTTACATGCACTGATCCAGCCTAGAAGGGGCAAAAGAGAGAGTGCTTAGAATTATAGGATGCAAAATTCCCTTGGAAACAAGCATTTTACTTATGATTTGTTGTAACAGTACTTTCAAGAGAAAACTTAATGTCTTAATATTCCTTAAAGACTACCTAGTAATGATTAACAATGAAATGATTTGGGACTCTTTAAATAAAACATGTCTTTTAATATATGTAAAAGAGAAATCCATGTAGGATGAAGACAGGCATATTATAAATGAGGCAGAACATAAATGAAGTATATAAAATGCAAAAGAAAGGCAGAAAAAGGAGATATTAATTCAAATTGGGAAAAACGTCAAGAAAAAAAATGACATTTGATGATCTAGGGTTGATGGTTAAATGAAATTTCAAAAGGTGGAGATACGCTTATGAAACAGCAATTAAAACACATGGCATGTTTGGGCAGAATAAGCAATATAAATTAGTACAAATATTTCAGGGGTCAGAAAAAGAATAAAAGAAAGGAAGAAAGAAGGAAAAAGGAACAAAGAAAAAATGTGAAGAAGAAACTTATTATCGTGATATTTAGAGGCTTCTTCTATCTTTTAAAGATAAAGAAAAGAAGCCTCTAAATATCACAATAATAAGTTTTATCAACAGCAATAAAATAGAGTTCAGAAAAATTAAAGGTATGGATGACTGCCAATTATGTAGGAAATAACTGCAACAGTCTAGGTTAAAAATGAAGATGTCTGAGATAGGACAAACACAGTGGGATCAGAGAGGGACACTGATGGATTCCATGGGTTAGTAATGGGAGGACTTGATACCCAACTAGAAGTAATGGATGAGGGAGATGAACTCTTCAAAGATCATCTCAAGGTGTCTAGCTTACCTTACATTACTACCCTGTTTCCCCGAAAATAAGACAGTGTCTTATATTAATTTTTTCTCCCAAAGTTGCGCTAGGTCTTATTTTCAGGGGATGTCTTATCTTTCCAGGAGCTAGGTCTTATTTTCGGAAGATGTCTTATTTTCGGGGAAACACGGTAGGAACATAGAGAGCACAAGGCATTGCAATGAGGGTTAGCGAAGGGATTAGCCAAAGAACATGAATGCATAACCACAGATACAGATAAGGGTGTGGTGACAGCCAGAGAGAAGGGGGGTTTGGTGGTTAAGTGGAGTTGGGCAAAGGCAGGGAAAATGGGACATCTGTAATAGTATCAATAATAAAAATTTTAAAAAAAGTATGTTTATAAATCTGAAAAGAAATTTATCACACATTGTTTTTAAAGTAGATAACAAAATAGTAGATACAACAATGATCCTGTTTTGACCAAAACACATACATACAGAAAAATATCAAGCATGACAGCACTTATCTCTAGATGATAGAATTATTATGAATTTTTATTCTCTTCTATTTGACTTAGTTGTAAGTTCTAACTTTTATAACAACTAGGTACTATTTGTATAGTAAAATCTGAAATAAAGATATATAGTAAATATAATAAAACACCCAAGTTATTTCATGTTGATTTCTAGATAAACTCAATATCTAGAAATCAAATATATTTTTATTGATTTCAGAGAGGAAGGGAGAGACAGAAACATCAATGATGAGAATCACTGATTGGCTGCGTCCTGCACACGACCTACTGAGAATCAAGCCCACAACCCCAGGCATGCGCCCTTGACCAGAATCGAACCTGGGACCCTTTGGTCTGCAGGCTAACGCTCCATCCACTGAGCCAAACCAGCTAGGGCTAATCTGACTTAATTAAAAAAAAAAAAAAAAAATTACAGCAAAAGCATAAACTGGCCAGTTGGTTTAGTTAGAATGTGCCTGAGTCTATGACTTGAACAGTAATAGGAATTATCATTAATCACAAAACTGAGAAAATATCTATGTTGCTTAAATTTGACTTGCAGTTGATTACTTTTTGAAAAATAGATGTTTTATTGATTTATTACAGAGAGGAAGGGAGAGGGATAGTTAGAAACATCAATGAGAGAGAAACATCGACCAGTTGCCTGCACACCTCCTACTGGGGATGTGCCTGAAACCAAGGTACATGCCCTTGACCGGAATCGACCCTGGGACCTCTTAGACCGCAGGCTGATGCTCTATCTACTAAGCCAAACCGGTCAGGGCTAGTTGATTACTTTTAGGTAAGACAAGCCATGTCTAGAAATCAAAGCAGCTATGATTTCTCCCTTTTCTTTGCCACTGCCATCTCACTGCTGTCACTTTACAAAACTATAAAAGATACTGTATCCTCTTTCAATCGAATGTGGAAATCAAAGTAAAGTAAGTGGAAACCATTTCCGAGACTCAGTCTCCTATGATTATTGTGTTTGCATTAATCTAGAGCTTTTGTGACAACTATTCTTGGGAATTCAAAAGTTTGTTTTAGTAATCTCCTTGGTCTTAATTAGGCAATACATCAGTGTAGTTAGATGGCCAAGTTCTGAATAGATGATAACTATTCTCTTTGTTTAAAGCCACCATGCTTAATAAACACTTGTCTACTACTTTATCGATACCAGTATAATTAAAAGAATTATTAAAAATGAACTGGAGGAATGCAAATTGGTATAACCATTTTTGAAAAGGAATTTGGCAACTGGCATCAAAAGCCATAGGGGAATAATATTATTTTATTCACAAAATCCCTTCTAAAAATTAATCTTTAAAGAAAAACGATTGATCTTTCATTTACTGAAGACCAGCGCTCTTTTAGAAGACCTGGTTACCTGACCTTTCAGGGTGCCAGAAGCGTGAGCACTCCTATCCCACACACCTGGTCCTCACGCACTGCCTACTTTTAGGAGAGGAACAAATTTCACAGGGAAGAGAACAGCCACCACTCAAATGGGGATGCTGCATGCCCCAGTCCACTGAGCACTGGGACACTACTACTGAGGCCTCCACTGACTCATATCTACAAGGAACAGGCTCCAGGGCCTCGTGGTTTGACCTTGAGGCTCCCTTCGGACAGATATATGCAGCTCAGGACGATCTCAGACGAGAAGGGATCTTTGGGTCTCCAGCCATTCCAGGTGAATTGTGTGGTGCAGATCCAATGAGGTGGTGTAGATGCATCTGTTCAGGCCCACCTCAGGGCTTAGCTGGTACAGGGACACCGACCCAAGATCAGAGTGGTTAAATCATCATGGCTGAATAAGATCTCTCTTGCAGTTAGTTCTCAGATTTCTAATTGTATCCTCACATGGTGTAAAGCCTAAAAATTATTAAGGAATAAGCACGAGTATATACAAAGATTACATCAGAAAAATATTCATCCCAGCCAGTTTATATGGTAACAATGGAAATCAACTAATCCAATAGAGAAATGATTAAATAAATTATGGCATATTCATATAATGTAAAACTGCAGCCATGAAAAATTATGTTGGGATTCTTAGAAGATAATGACAGTGGTGGCACTTTTTTGAAATGCTCCAAATATTCCCATAAATACAGAAATTAAGACAGCAAATCCAAAAACCAATGAATATCATCTACAAAAAACTAGCTAACCTGGTGCTAAGAAAACCCAAATGCAAGCTATAGACCTGCAAGGTATCAGCTTCTGTGGAGGAGCAAGTAATAGTGGATCTGCCTGACCTAAAAACCCTAAAGCAGTAAGCCGGTGCTAGGGGCAATCTAGGACAGAGAATCTGAGAAAGGCAGCTGGGTCTGCAATAAGATATGAAGAGCTGGAGCAGTCTGAACCCTAGAACTCTCAAAAGAAACCAAGCAAAGCCCCACATTGAGAAGAAACAACTGGCAACAGAATCCCAATTGAGCGGCACAGTAGAGGCTCAGGCACAAATGGAGGGGAAACCGAGCCAGGGGAAAGGAAAAACTTTCACTTCACAGACTCAGCAGAAGAGGGAACTCTAGAGCTATGAATTAGACATACTACCTTACACCACCCTTTATTTCTTAAGTTCAGGAAACCTAATTTCACATAGTAGGAAGCCATAGAAAAGAAATGACTCCATATCCCACACAAAATAATTATAAGAAAATGCAGATTAAAGAATCATCAGAAAGATTT